CAAAGGACTAGAGAACTGCGTGCCCACTCTGTTTCTTCTAGAACCCCCAAACATGGCATATATCCATATTGGTATTTCGGGCATTAAAAAACAAAGACTACTAAACCACCTGAAACAGAAACATGGTGTTCAGTGAGATCACCCCTTTTTGAAGGAATGAAAGTATGAACTTATAACTAGAGCCCTGGGGCAGGAGGAAACTGACTATCAAAATCAACACCACCACACATGGGCTGAAAATTATTTTCAATGTTTCTTGCAACATTTTCTATACTGAATTTAAGAAAAAAAATCATAACATCTAAGATATCCAGAAGACTGAAGCAATGGATGTTGAAAATACTTCTCCTTTAGTTCATTTTGCCTGCCTTAATATAAAAGCTACTTATGAGAAACTAGTAATAAATATGCCATTCAGAAATCAAATGTATTAAGATTCTCTTGCAAAAAGAGGTTTCCAGAGCATATCAAATTCTTTCCCTGCAGACAGAGCACCACTCCCCTGACATACTTAATGGTAACACTTTTGCAAGAGATGGCTCCTCAACATACACAATTTCTTCACCTTCTTCTTTTATTATATAGAGCACAGTTAAAATTTTGCTGAACAGTTCCGTAATGATCATTCCTTTCAGAGGTGTCGGAATAAGAAACATCATTGTGTTCAACCAATACATATAAATACCAGTAAATAGCTAATATTATGTAGTATATATCATTAGGCTTTAGGCTACTGCCAGCTTTGAGGCTGTAGCTCCTGCATATAAATAGGAACAAGCGCCTCAGCTTCTCCAAGAAAGGTACCTCACTGCAGGCTCTTCCAAAACTGAAGGTGGGTGTGGCAGGGAAGAACAGTAGAAAACACTATCAACATCCCAGACTTTCCCTGCCTCTACCCATCTTGTTTTTAAACAGGCCACATGTGCTCTATACACAGTTTATCTCTACCAAGGAAAGTTGTGAAAACATACCAAAATCTGTGGTTTTGGCAAGATGTGTTTACAGTCAGTATTTGGCTGTATCATTTATAAGCCAGGATACCATAATAATAAAGGATAAGCCAGGATACCATAATAAACAGCAGAAAGAATACTTAATAGCTTGTTCAGGTGTTTGTTTTGGTTTGGTTTTTTTTTCTTTTATTATTGTGGGAAAGTTTTTGAAACCTGCAAGCCTGCTCTAAGAAGAAAGGGAGGGGGGAAAAAAGCCCACCTATGCTAAACCCTCAAAGAAATAGAAATTGTACGCACATTAAAAATCAGAAGTGTGCCTTTTCCTTTATTAGAAGAGAACTTGCCCCATCAGGTGAACTCAACAAAACATAGATGCTTTTTTGCCCCTACAGGTGATATTCAATAGGACTGTAGAAGCCAAACACCTCAGAGTGTGGAAGAATGCTTAGAGCATTTCAGTCTGCAAGGGCTGCTGGGGGAGTGACATTTAGTGCAATACAAACAGAGGTTTCCCTGGTGGATGTCTCACAGAATCCCTGATGGGGAGCAGACAGTACCAGCCAAAACAGGCAGCATGTGCTCTGACAATATTCCAATAGAGCAGTCACGGCAATGGTGGGCAATGGCGTTTCCAGATCTGCCCAGCACTCTGGTGAGGATAAGACTGATTAAGTGCTCTAACTGCATGGAAACCCCCACACAAACACAAGTTGTACCTCATACAGTCAGAGATATAAAAATACACTGACACACACATGTGACTACACTGTGGTGATCCTGCAATAATCTGTGACAAAGCAAGGAAGAAAGACTGGCCAGAGAGAAAGATTTCGACAGCCCTGTAATCAAGTTCACTGCAGAGGATTCTGCTCATTATGACTACATCAAATTTAATTTACAAAGATGACTCTCAGAGCCAACACAGAGCAGCTGTATAATTCTTTACATCTGCTGGGATCTACAAACTATCTGTTCCCCAAATAAATATGAGCATGTAAATTCTTCTTCTAAAAAAAAAAAAAAAAGAAAATATAATAAATAGCTGGACTTGGATATATATTAAGTGTAAAACATCAGCCTAAAATAGTTTGAACTCCTGCCACAAAGCAAAAGATTTTGGTTTTTAGATACAGTGCTGGACACAGGCATAGCTCCTGCAAAACTAATGAAATTGATGCAGCCCAAAAGCCTGTAGGGTTTTTGTATTCAGTCTACTATGGGACAAACTCCCATCCTTTCCAAGAAATAAAATACAGAGAAAAATATTCCCTTGTCACCCTGTTATTTTGAAAGTTTTAAAGTTTAAAAAGTTTTTAAAGTTTAAAAAGTTTAAAAGTTTTCTATGCCTTCTGATGTTTACATGTTTCTACTGAGTTCTCACACACTGTTCATGTAAATAATGATTTTTTTGCATTCTTCTTTGTGGGAGGACAGAATTGATGGACTGTTGGTTTTACCAGTGTGGTTGGAGAGGTGGCAATTTTATCCTCCAATTCATTGTCACTTTTGGCATTCTATATATTGCAAGGTCAGAAATAAAAGTTACTTCCTTTTGCTCTTTCGATCTTAGTGTGAGTGCATGAATTATTTTGTGTCATAGTGCAACATTCCCCTTCCCTATTATATGAAAGTGCTGTTTGTGCAGGGCTCTCTGCATAAGAATTCTGCAAATAACCAAGAGAAGGCTGGAGTCAGAACAAGGAAATCATCTGGAATTTTTAATCAGCCTCTAATTTAAGGTCCAGCAGCCAACTACATTTTTTGAGCAAGCTTCTTTGAAGGTTATAAAGCCTGCAGGGAAAGAAAAGGAGACCGTAGGACCACAATGCTTGTAGACTAGCCTAAGATCTTGAACTTGTTCTCCAAATGCAGTGTTTTGCAATCAGCTATCAAACAATCCAGTCATGGAGGTACCCAAATTCCTGAACTGCAGGTGTGACTTAAGAACCATAGACGGGAACACAGGCACTTCTGAATCTTGACTCATCAATGCCATGAATGGCTTTGCCAGATCTGAGGGCAGCGGGACAGGAAAGCCCTTTAACATACTGGTGCCAAGATACACCTTACCATGCCACTGTCACATGCAATTACTGCATTTGAAGAACTTTCTTTTTTTCTAGAACTTAAGAGGGGAATTTCAGTCTCAGTATCATGGCCTAGTAGATACCATAAAAATGCCTTTAGTTAGAGAATAACAAATCAGTATTCCAAATCCCCATAATTCTAATGATAGGCATCCACTCACTTCTCTAGTCCAGGAGAGGGACTCAGAAAGGGAGAAGGCAATCGTGCATACAGAAGGAACCATGGAGGATTCAGAGCCAAGAAAATAACACTCATAATATCCCAAATTCCTGTGCAGCTAACAAGCAGAACATATGCATGCAAATAGAGTCCTGCAATATAACACGGCAATTAAAGGGCTTTTAAAGTGCTTAACTGAAGTTAAAACTGACATTATTAACTGATCCAGCTCAGGGTTCCTCAGCAGCATGGATAAAATTAAATTATCCTGCTACAGCTCTGAGATAATATACATCAAGCACTGCAAAATTAAAAAAAAAAAAAAAAAAAAAAAACTGGACTAAGAAAACACTGCAAAGGGTATACAGATGATGCCAGACCGAGTTTCAGTTACTTACAAAGGAAAGCCCACAATTTTTTTTCCTATATGGCCCCAGAAAGAGACACTGTCAGCTTGCTTAGAAAGCAACTGGTTTGCTTAAGGAACTCTGTGATCAGTTACCTTGACACAAACCCAAAATTTTCCCAAGAAACTCTGGTCTGAAGAGTTCTAGGAGCTTACCGTGTTTTGTGCAGTTAATCCTACCACTGTTCAATGAACACAAGTGTCAGAAACACTAGTGCCAACCAGAAGGATCAGAGACAGCTAAACAAGATTGCACTGAGGAGGAACAGATATCCAGCAGTGCATTACAGCCATAGTTATAAGCTTCAGTAAGTGCAGCTTCCTTCAGTACCATTATATTTACACAGCATTAAGTATAGCTTAATTAAGAAACTTTTAATAAAAGCCTGGACTTAGCCAGATCAGTTAGTGCAGCAACATAGATTTGTTAAAAATAAAGAGGTCAGTGGAAAGTTCTTAAAAAAAATCTTAAGCTTACCAAGCAAATTGTGTGGCAACAAGTCAAAGCTTCCCTCTAGTACCAGGCCATGCTTTAGTTCTGTTACTACTTAGCTGAAAGTAAACATGGTAGTATCGTGCCTCTTTATAAAGAGAAAATGTATCTCTGTCTATTTAGTCCTAATTATACTGCTGAGGACAAAACAGACGAGAAACAGATGTCCTCTGACAACTTCCAGGACCAAATAAAGTCAAGCAAATCTTTTCCTCCAGTGCTTACTTTCAAGAGGCTAAACACATTCTCCTGTCCTTTCTATTCACACTAGAGGTAGTCTGTCAAAATATCCCCTGTCAGCCCATTCAGGAGCACTGTTACCTAAGGAAAGGGCATACTTTGTTTGTTTAAAAACTAGAGCCGCTTTTGAAAAGTCTTTGACACTAAGAAATCTGAGCTTGCCAGTTGTACATCAGTATTAACAAAAGTACAACTTACTGATCTGATCTTTCACATATCCATTGGCGTCTGATATGTAGCACTCTTTGCATTTTGTTATAACTAACAAAGTGTAAAAGAGTACTGCCAAAAGTTCTAACTATCCTACGTATTCAACAGAATACAGAGAAAAGCAGTCTCCCAGGATTTGCTACCATCAGTAACATTTGTAAGTAAAACGTCTTTACTTTATAACGTTCAAATTGCGTTTGCATTGTTTGATACGCTAAAAAGAAAAAGAAAATCCTACACCATACACTGAGAAATAAACCTTAAGACGCCTTCTCCCATCCCGTGTCACTTTGGAGCTGTGTTGCTATTTCGCAACACTTTTAACACACACCTTAAACTTCAATAAGCCTCGATGTTTACCCAAGAACTCGCCCGAATCACCTCTGACTTAACAGCATCTCCAGAAGCCGGACATGCCTAGAGCACGGACCACCGTCACTCACACACTCACCCACTGGCTGCTGAAGTAGTCGAGCCCCTGGCAGATGATGCGGGCGGCCTGTGCCAGGAGCACCTGCACGCCCAGGGAGCTGCCCAGGCAGTAGAGCCCGTAGAGCAGCGGCCCCCCGGCGCCCAGCAGCAGCAGGAGCCGCCGCCGCCGCAGCACCTGCTCGCCCAGCGCCTCCACGCCGTAGTTGGCGAAGCAGATGGGCAGGAGGAGGGCGGCCAGCAGCACCGGGGTGCGGGAGCGGTGCAGGCGGCCCAGCCAGCGCCGCCCCAGCGCCGTCAGCGAGGTCTTGAAGGGGTGCAGGAAGGTTCCGCAGAGCACGGCCCAGAGCAGCGGCCGCAGGAACGCCTCCAGGATGAAGTACACGAGAACGGCGGCGCCGCAACACAGCCCCGCGAACAGCAGCGCCCCGGTGTTGTAGAAGGCCTGCTTGATCGGCTTCTCCAGCCGCGGCAGCGACATTCCCGCCGCCCCGCCCTGGCCGCCCAGCGGCAGCCGCGGCATGGCCGCGCCCGCGCCGGGGGAGTCGCCCGCCCGTCGCTCCCCCACCGGCGAGCCCGGAGGGGTCGCGGCGGGACCCGCGGCCGCAGCCGCGGCGGGACCGGCGGCGGGAGCGGCGGGCTCTGCGCTGTCAGCCATGGCGGGCACGGGCACGGCGGCCGCCGGCGGGCGCGGAGCGCGGCCGGGACTGCCCGGGCGGTCGTGCCCGAGGGCACGCAGGGGCCCTGGGCTGTAGTACCGCCGCCGCCGCCTCGCGGCCCCGGGCCTGCGCCCAGCCCGGCGGGAAAGGGGCGGCGCCGGCCGGGAAGCGAGCTGGGAAATGTAGTTCTGCTCCGGGAGGGCGGCGGCCGCGCTCCCGCTGCCCGGCAGGACCAGCGGGGCTGTGCGGGGGCCCTCAGCCTCCCCGGGCCCCGCCGAGCCTGCACAGCGCCTTCGTGGCGTCCACTGAAGAACGCGGCCAAAGGCTGGAGTGTGGACGAGCCCAGCTGCTTGCAGCGCAACCTCATCCCCATCCCAGAAGTGCAGCCCTGTCCTGCTTCGCTCAACACTCTCCTCTCCCTGCTGCTGCTCTAGTCTCGGGGAGCGGAGCAAATTCAGAGATCTGCAGTGTCATTGCATGGCGGAGAGCAAGACTGGTTAGACCAGCTGGAGAATTTTGTGTCGTCTGAACATGTTCTGGCAACAAGTTGTTTAACAAGGAAGCATCTGCTCTTTTACTGGCAGTCAGGCCCACTGAAGAAGCAGTTGTGCTGTGCGGTTTTTTAGACCTGCCATTTATGACACTGTACCATCAAATGTTATTTGCAAATAATCTAGAGAGGAGCTAATTTCCTGCAGCTGGCATACACCAAATGCCCGAGTGCAAGCATGAAGGCAACTGCTAACATTTTGCAGGTGGTCTAAATGCATCTGTAATAAATACACATGGTCTGAGCAAATTTTGCAAGGGCCAAAATCCATGACATTTGAATTAGCTCAGTGCTGGCACTGTGCTACTCGGTTTTCCTTCCATGGCTTAAGACAAGCCTTCAGAAGGTACTAAGGCTATCCATAATACTGCCATAAAACCCTCAGAGGGATCTTCCCCTTTCTTTTCAAGGACATAGAGCTTATCCTCTAAATCATAATAAAGAAATCACATCACTGAACATATAAAAAGTACACAGATATAAAATAAAGAGGAAAACAATCAAATTTCCTGTATTTTTTAGAATGTACATGCAAGTTTAAAATGATATAACTTCATGTGTAGATTGGAGTCCACAAGGACTTCAGTGGAGCATTTCTTGCATGACAGATGTAAAAAAGCTGAAATTATCCTGAGCACAATTGTCTTTAACTTTTAAAGTGGGAATTCTATGCCTAGTCATTCCTAGCTTTTAAATGCAGAGCAATACCAAGACAATGGCTAGATGTGACCTATTCCTATCATAATATCAAGGTAAAAGGTAGAGGTTTTCCCACAGCGGTGCTTCCTGTGACTGTGTTGCCCCCTGAAACCATAGATGGGGCTGGGCCCAAGCCAGTTTTTGAGGTTTAGCAGTGCAGTCTTGACTTGTCCCTGCAAAGCCTTTCCTGCCAGTCACACAGAAGTTCACACTTGCAAGGGTTCTTCTGAGCTCCTGCAGCTCCTTGTTTTTCCCTTTGCTGAATAGATCATGTGTAGGTTCAACAAAGTACTTTAATTTTATGCCGTAAAAGTTCTTACAAACCTACAGGCATTTTGTTTGATCCTGATCAGGCATTACAAGCAGTTGTCCATACAAGAAGCTTTTATTGAACCTTAAACTGATACTGTCACTCACAGCTCTTTGATCACATAGATCTGCCTCCTGGCAGGGTGCTGAAATAGGTAGCAAGAATGCATGAATGCATCATTACCTGAACTTTTCTCTTTAGTTCAGGAGCCAAACTCTAATTGCTCATTACAATACCTTTATTGCATTAAAGTTCAATTAGCAAGTGTCAATTAAGACAGGGGAAGAGCGGAGAGTTCTAATCCTTCTGCTAGCTAAACAGAGATGCCAGCAAATCAAATCTTCATAGGCACATCCTTATTCCTTTGATTTTTTATAAGAGACTCAGTCAGCCATGTTCTGCAGGAACAGAAATTAATGCCACCTCCTTGACTTGAGTGAAGCTATAAATATTGTTTTACATAAGCCAAGGATCTGATCCCTACTGTTTAAGACCTTTCCTTTCCAATTATCTTTTTCACCCTCCATTATAAACAACTAAACGTATTAGAAAGGGGGGGTAACCCAATAATGCAATAAAATAAAGATTTTTAATTTGTATATCACCACAATAGGATCACTTAAGAACAGGGACATGACCCATAAGCATCAGAAAACAATCTCTGAATCTTTGACAGCTGAGGGGAGGATGTGTGATCTTCACAAGACACACCCCAGCATCTAAAGCTTAACTCCACAACAGATTTCAAATAGCAACTTAACAGCTGGTTTTGACTAAGATTTAAAATGGTGACAGATTTTAGAATAGATGCCCATAACATGCACAGATACATTTGATTTAGGCATTTTTATGGTCAAAGATAAGTAGCACCCCTCAGGCTCCTACACTGCCAGAAATTCTACAACAATTTCTTTGATTGTATTTTTCCTGTTTGTAATTCTTCAAGGATGAAGAGGGCAGGAAAAGAATGCTTTCACTTCAGTGGAGAAAATACATATGCACCTAAAAGCACATGTGATAAGTACTGACAGTCTTTGGTGCTCTCCTATGTAGAGGGAAGTATAAAATCAGGTATTAATTAGTAAACAAGAAACTTGTAACTTCTGTCTGCTTCTGTACTAGCACCCACGATTTTATGCTCTGAATTGACACATTTGAAGTCTCATTCAAGAGGTCAGAGACACCTCTAGCTCTTTATTCACTCAATGTGCAAGTTAACACAGACCAAAGTTCCAAGCTATCTTACACATGATACCAAAATGAGGTGGCCACAAAGCAAAGGAGATAGACAATGCCAACAACTGCAGGTTAATCATTATTTACAACCAAGGCTATGAAATGAGTCAGGAACAAAGCCACAAGGTGTCAGTACTGGCCTGTGTATAGAAAATAACTCTCCCTGCATGAAAGAGTTTATTTGTTTGAACCAGTGTTACTGAACATTTGTGAACATTCAGTTGAGGTTAACCTCATTTCATAAATTCACCCCAGTTTGATGACAAAGTAATACCATCTTCAGATCAATGAAAAATACTTAATGCAAATTATTATAGTTTCACTAGAACCAGAGGCAAAGAAAACAAAAAGTTGAAGTCAATGATTTTAAGATACAGACTTTGCATATACCTTTGCATTTCAGGCTAATGAAAAAATTATTCTTTTATCCAGATCAACTGCTAAGATGAGAAGGCTCCAAATTAAATGCAGCCTAACTTTATTGCAGAAACAACTTTGTTCAACATCTCAGCTAAAGCGTACAAAATTATCAGCAGAGTGACTCTTGAATGATTCACATAGAAGACTGTGAATCTTGTTCAGTTAACAAGGGAAATTAAATGCACGGTTGTAAGGCAGAGTAGTCAATAGCACTGACACAAAAATGTTCAATCACTGGAAAAAGCATGCAAAACAGCACCAATGGATGGACAAAATCCAGAGCACTATCTTTCATGGTTATCCCACGTGATAGCTGTGTGCACAGAACAACAGCTGGATATACAGAGGTCTGAATAACAGAATAATGCTTGGAATTCATTGTGTTTGTGACAAATTCCTCACCAATCTGTCAGCAGTCACATAATGCAAGACAAACAGAATATAATTTAAATCTATTTGATATATGTAATGCCTCTGCTGATCATGATGGCTTGGACAGTGCACAAGTAGCTGACACACACAAGATCCATCCTTTCTTGCAGCCTGCAGCTACAGGATTGCAATAATACTACAAACACAACAAACAGTGTAAAAGCAATACATTTCTTGTTGCCCTGAGCAAACTTTTCTTCCCAGTCCAACAGTAAAGAGAAGTAAGGAGCTAAAATACGTGCTCAAACCTGAGAGATCTTAAAAATTGAAGCATCCCTGTTTGAGAGACTTCTACAGCTGCTTTTGCTTGCTGAGTATCATGGCACTTCCTCCTCTCTGTTGCCAATTTCCAATATAGTTTCATTTTCTTCTTTTCTGCAAAAGCCCGTCCTGGGTGATTCAGAAGCCGTTCTGGCCAAGGAACAGGGCAGTGATGACAGGAGATAAAGAACACCAAATTTGTAATATTGCAACTTGATCATATTTGTATCAAATAGTTACATGAACACAGCACAGAGGTCACCAGAGGAACCTCTATATTTTACATACTTACAGCAATTGACAATGTGGTTAATACTTTGCTAAAATAGAAATGATCACATTTACTTACAGGTTCATTGTGATTCACATAGTGGAAAAAAGAAAAAAAGGCAGTCTTCTATCATCTGTTAATTCACTAATGACCAGCCTCGCTGACTTAAATTGAATTAGTCAGGCTAATAAATTCAAGACCATGGCACAGGAAGGAATTATTAACATAGGCAGAACAGAGACTTCTTTAACCTCATGGAGACTTTCCCCCCCTTTATAAATGCCATACAACACATTTTCTTAGACTAAAAAGGCATTTATTGCAACAGTTTTATAAATATCATTGTCTGTCACTGTCAGATAGCTAACAAGGCTCACTTGAACACCAACATTTAGTATAAAACAGATATTACAAAGCAACACTTTAGGGCATGCACTGATTGTAAAGTAGTCCCATAGGTCACTGTAATTTCATTATCTATTCATTCAGTGTTATTTTTGCTCAAAAGACTAGAACACAAAGAAGTTTGGCAAATTCTTCTGGACTACAAAACCTCCATTCTGTACTCCTATCCAACCAAATGCTCATTGACTTCACATGGCTGCTGGGTATTGGCATACAGAATGAAGCCTGGCACAGAGACTGCAGAACACCACTTAACACTATAGTTAGAAGTCTCTTATTCGTATGTTTTATCTGTATATTAGTCTTGACAAAGAACTGAATAACGGTAGAGATGGCATTTCGGGTTCAACCGTTATACTTCATGTAATAAGAAACAAGTGGCAAGAGTTCACACAATTATGACAGACTACTTATTTGCAAAGAGGTTAAAGCAAACCAGACCTCAGTATATATACACCAGAAATACCAAGACATATCAGGCATCAGTTATAACCTAAACAAAACTCAACATGCTAATAAAATATATCTGCCTAAATAAAAGCTGGGAACATCACATACAAATGTCAAGGTCCCACTATTGCATTTTTCTAATGCGTTAATAGGTTTGAAATTTCATCTTTGAATCTCTTTGTCAAGACTTAAATCATAATTCCAGCTTTAAAAATTCTATTGTGGTAGTTTTTTATATTTCCATATTTGTCATTCATTTCATATCACCAAAGGTAAAAAAAACTGAAAAAGAACTCATTGCTTTCTATGTGAGCAGTCAAGTATTTCAGAAGCAGACACCATATTCTGGAGTTAAATAACAAGATTTTTCATCCTCCTAGGTTTAACTGTGACATCTGTTCTTCCTTTTCTATTACCCTAATACTCTATATGACAGCATTCTTTTGACTTATTGAGCTTATTCTTGTTACAGCTTGTATGAAAAAAAAAAAGTGAAAAAAAGACTGTAATACATCTAAGACTGTGAGGCTAATTTTTGTATTGAAGAAAGAAGGTATGTATATAAGAACTGCAAACATGTAATATCCCCACACATGTAAACCCCACACATGTAATATCTCAGGTCTATATATTTTCTTCCTCAATCATTCTGTCTCCCCAAAATCATCTAGGAGTCAGGGAGATGTAAGGTTCTGTGTTTTGTCTAGTCTCCAGAGCAGAATTTAGCCTATCTTGTATAATTCTCAGACTTTACATGCATGCACAAATACCTTCAGCTAAATCACATTGCCTAAACATTAATTCTGTGAATAATACATTTCATTATCTAAACCTTACAGATCACTGTTGTGAAAAACCAGCAGGAATATTTTTATTCCTTTGCACAAAACCTAATTGAATTTTCCATTTATTTACTTCTAACAATACTGTTGGGGAGGGTAGATAAATATGATTAAGAACCACAATGGTACAGCCAGGACGAATATAACGCCCCCTACTGGCTGGACAATTACCCTCACCTACAACGGGGTCCAAAAGCCGAATGGATTCTCCCATGTCACCCCCCAGAATGTATGGTTCACCCCACATCTGTAACCCTCCCCTGAACCATCAGGTGCCTGTGACCCCATTGGCCCAGGTCCTGTTCCAGCCCACCCTGGAGCCCCCCTTGATAAGGGGTCTCCAGGGGGCTGGACGCCCTCTTGGATCTTCCCTTCCCCTCCTGGAGAGTCCTCCGGGAGTCCCTGCTCTCCTCTCTGTCTCTCCCCTCCCCCATCACCCGAGGCCCAGCCACGTGCTGTGTCTGGCAGCTCGAGGCAGAGCCTCAATGTATCCTGAATAAACCTCTTCCCCCAAGAGCACCAAAGAGATCTCGCTTGAATCTGTCAGTGGAATACAAATACACGCCCGTGTATTTGTATTCCACGGACAGGACAGATTCAAGAGCACCAAAGAGATCTCGCTTGAATCTGTCCGTGGAATACAAATACACGCCCGTGTATTTGTATTCCACGGACAGGACAGATTCAAGAGCACCAAAGAGATCTCGCTTGAATCTGTCCGTGGAATACAAATACACGCCCGTGTATTTGTATTCCACGGACAGGACAGATTCAAGAGCACCAAAGAGATCTCGCTTGAATCTGTCCGTGGAATACAAATACACGCCCGTGTATTTGTATTCCACGGACAGGACAGATTCAAGCGAGATCTCTTTGGTGCTCTTGGGGGAAGAGGTTTATTCAGGATACATTGAGGCTCTGCCTCGAGCTGCCAGACACAGCACGTGGCTGGGCCTCGGGTGATGGGGGAGGGGAGAGACAGAGAGGAGAGCAGGGACTCCCGGAGGACTCTCCAGGAGGGGAAGGGAAGATCCAAGAGGGCGTCCAGCCCCCTGGAGACCCCTTATCAAGGGGGGCTCCAGGGTGGGCTGGAACAGGACCTGGGCCAATGGGGTCACAGGCACCTGATGGTTCAGGGGAGGGTTACAGATGTGGGGTGAACCATACATTCTGGGGGGTGACATGGGAGAATCCATTCGGCTTTTGGACCCCGTTGTAGGTGAGGGTAATTGTCCAGCCAGTAGGGGGCGTTATATTCGTCCTGGCTGTACCATTGTGGTTCTTAATCATATTTATCTACCCTCCCCAACACAATACCACCATAGGAAATTAAACTGAATTATGTCAAAACTAAGGGAGAGATATGAAGCTAAATCACAAGTTACCATAAAATGTTCACATCCCTGAGTAAGCATTGGAGCTATAATATATTTGCAGCTGCTCAGCACTTCTGAAAAATCCAATTACTTTTTCAAAAATGCAAATATTAATTTAAGAATCATTTAGAAATAGCTCAGAAAAGTACTGGTAATTTTGTAATGCTCTAGTCTATAAAGAGTAAAACACCTTTATAGAAAATGTCTTAAGAATGCACATGAAAGTTCATATTGTAAGGACATTCCTAATTTCCTTTAATTGCAGATCAGAACAAGCCTATGTGGAGCAGCAGCTGTTCTAAGATACAGGATGTGAAGTCCTGCACTTATTCCAACGTCAGATTGGTTTGGGAGAACATTCCTGCTTAGCTAAGAAACACAGAGAAAGGGCAAAAGCAACAGTTGTGAATTACTACGGAACCGTGTCAGGGGAAGTTCAGATGGACTTTAGGAAAAGATTCTTCTCTAAGAGGGTGCCCAGTCACTGGAACAGGGAAGTTCAGTGAGCATCTGGATGAGGCTCTGAGTCATATGGGTTAGTTTTAGGCAGTCCTGTGAGGGCTCTAAGATCCATATGGATTTCTTCCAACTTGAGATAGTCTATGAATTCTAGACTATCACAGTAATCCAAGGGAAAAAAAAATCTGTCCCTTTCTTTACAGTATATTCATTGCTACTGCCAAGTTATAACACTGATTTTCAAAGCAAGTAATGTCTTTTAAGTCTGCATTTTCACACCTATCAAATCCATAAGCTGCACACATCCTCCCTGACATTTCAAAATTGCACTGCTTTTGCCTCACTATCTGAGCCCAAATTAGGCAAGTTAAGGAACCATGTTTAAGCATATATAATTTTATCAAACCTACTGTGAAAATTGAAAAAAGTTACCAAAGTGATTTCTTTACATTAATAAAAATTGTTTAGAAAAGGAAGCTTACCTAAATCTCACTAAGTATTTGCAAAAATCAGATACCTCAACATAAAAACTGCATATAAATAACTAGATAAGGAAAAAAATGTAAAAAGCTGGAATGTGTTTAAAAAATTTATTTATTAATTTTTGTGCACAAGGACTTAACATTTTCTTTATAAATCTTCCTGTTAAGATCCATCTCTGTCCCAGGCAGGTTGAGGGAAAGCTGCCCAAAGAGACTGCTATAGAAATACTGATAATGAAATTTTAACTGGAGGAGCTAATGTACAAAGCTGTTAAGATTTAGAGCCCACATCTTTTGATTCTGAGACTGCAGCCAGCAGGGAGTACCTGCTCACTGGCCATTCTACCAATTGAGCAGGTACTCCCTGCTGCAGTATTGCCTCTGGGGTCTTGTTGGGTTTTTGTACCTCTGAAGGCCAGGTCAAGCCTCCAGCTCTTAACTTGGGGCTCGACAGCAGAGGACATCTTGTGCCATGGTCTTACCTGATGCCCACGTCTACCCTTAAACAGCTGGGACCTGCCTAAAAGCCAAAATCTCTTCAAAGTCAGTCTCTATTCCTTCCTAACCCTATATCAAGCAATATTTGCTTGGATAAAGACTGCCAGACAGGCACTGCCACATGTAAATTTATACAAAAACAGAAAGTATGCCAAAACCATTCCGTTCCCTTTCCCTGTTATTTGTCCTTATTACTGGTCTCTCCATTCCTCTGTTCCAAACTGTTTGGAGTCACCAACGTGTCACTGTGAAGCATCCAAGCAAACTGCTTTGCCAGTTTCATTACATGGGGTTGAGAAGGATCACATCAATTCATGTAAGCTATGCACACCCACAGCTCCATGAAGCACTGAAACACTGTAATATTTAAAAGTATTTCTTATTCTATCATAAATCTAAGGCTCTATGCAAAGTCATCATTTGTATAAAACACTAACAGAATAGTTACTTATGAAAATAACTGGTATTAGGCCTTTTGTAATTCTCTGAAATACATACTTCCTTCTTGTTATGTCTATTATCAAGTACTTTACATTGGGGAAATTATTTGGAGCTGTTAAAACAAAAGGAGGGTGGGGAGAAGTACACCTGCTACACCAAGTGTGCCAAACCAATGAAACCACAGAGTCACAAAATGCCATTTAAATGCTATTAAAGTTACATAACTTGCATATAAACTTTAATTCTGCCTCTGGAGTACTGAAGGGTGCAAATTTCTAACAGACACAGAAAATACCTGAAAGACCAGACAGAGGAGCTACCCTTTAAAACAGGAATAATTTTCTTTTTTGTAAATGTCTCATGCATTGGAGGGATGAGAAAGGAGAAGAAAAAAAAAAAGGAAGACCTGTGTCTTCCCTTAAACTTATAGCAGTTGTATTAGTCATAGCAATAACTAAGAAATAACTGTGCAGCTATTTAGTACACAGAGGCAGTTGCAGAGCTCTTTTGTTGGTTCAGACCCAGCATATGGTGCCCCAAGTGAGCTTCGAGACCTCTGCCTGGATGCCACCACACCCCAGTCATTCTCCAATCCCTGTACTGAAGATTGGGAAAGTCAGTGCCAAACACAGCTGTAACATCATTTAATCCAAACTGGGGGTTCCTTCAAATTAGGGAGTCCACAAGTGTTATTTTCTTACTATCCAAGTAGTGCAAAACCCATCAAGACAAAGAAGGCCACAGAGGGAGTTCAAACTTTTCTCATCAATATGTTCTTTCAAAAACAGAATACTTCCCTTGTAATAATAGAAGGCATCATCACCTATTATCCAATGACATTACCAAATCAGGGGGTTTTGGTTTTTTTGTTTTTTTTTTTTTTTTTTTGAGGGGGAAATAAATTAGCATCTCACCTCTACCTAAAAAAACCCAGTTATTTGATACCAGCAACAGAAAAAAAAATATGTAAAAAAAATCCTTTCTAATTAGTAACCACAGTCAAATTTCCAAACACAATATTCTAAATATGCCTTCTCTAAACTCAATGCCTCTCTATGAAGTCATTGTGCAGAAAGAAATTCTTAAAATTAAAGCACTTAGGAAATGTGTTCCTTAATAGTTGTTTGGTAGTAATCACACTACAGAAACAAATAATTACTTGGAGAGGGAAATATCTGCCTCCTTTTCCAAAGCACATATTTTCTTCTAGTTTGTGTTAGTACCAGTCAATTAGAAAAAATAACAAAACAAAAAATATTTGAAATGCCATAATCAAAAATTACTTCGATGTCTGTTACTTTATAGTAACTTTGTGTAACAGGGATAAATACTGCTTTTCAGTATTAAAAAGAAAAACAAGACAACATGTGAAAACAAAAATAGTCTCCATGACAAGTTATTATGCCCACTCAAATATTAAAACTTACCAAGTACTGTACAAACTTACATACCATGTTTCCCTTGTAACCTTTCTCTCCTCAGATTTCATCCCAAATACCAACTTCTAGATGCTCATACCTTCATTGTTTGTCAACTTGAATTCCACATTCCTGATTTTCCCACTGTGAAGAGGAACTCTAAGATAAACTCAGTGCTGAACTCAACCATCCATTTCAATGCCAGATAATAGATTGTTTTGCTGCTTCCTGTGGCCTTTTATGTCATCCCTTTTGATTAGAAACACTTTATAAGGCTAATTAAGTACTGTGAAGCTTAGTTGAAAGATTTTTTAGAAGTGCTCGTACTTCAACAAGAGAAAGATACAACAAAAACACAGCACACTGACAAGTAATCTGAAAAAGGAATAAAAAAATAATGTAAAATACTTTGCTCTTGCTTCAAATCCTGAACTTTAACCACATCTGACTCCATATACGTTGAAAGCAAATTGACAGTTGTCACACAATTTTACCTTGGTATTATTATTGTCATCTATAACATACCTGCATGCTCAGGTCCAACCAGGCTATCCTAAATCCAGAGCTCTATTAAAGAAGAAAAGAGAAGCCAAACTGGGTTTCTAGGCAAGTTCAGTACCTTTAAATCATTAAATTAGCCCTTTAGTGGGTAATAAGTAAATGGCTGAAACAGTAAAAACCAAGCCATAAACTAAAGCAACCCTCAGGCTCTGAGAAAGAGCTGCAATATCTCACTGCCTGAGAGAAAGAATTTACCCCAATGATTTCTTCACTTCACCTGTTTGCTGAATGTAAAGCTCATTATCCAGGCTGCTTCTTATCTGCTCCAGCCAAACTTAAGGCTAAATTACACAGCTGTTGTGGGCCAAAGCAGACCTTATTAGGTGGTCTCTACTTGATCAGATGATGAGTAAGTTAACCAACCTGAGAGAAGTAATTTATACTAAATAAAGCTACTGTATGCACTTTAGAAGTTCACTTATGAATTTCTCTTCCCTTTCCTGAACTCTAGTCCAGTAATTTAAAGTGAAAAAATCCTTAAAGACATCAGTGAAAATATAAAATATTAATCAATCTTTTGAAATAGGGATAAAGTGTTTGTATGAAGATAAGTTCATCTTCAATCTGATTAATATACCTTAAGCATAAGTTTGAAGAATTCTAAGTCTAAAAAAACTTAAGTCTACAGACATCAATCTGTGAATAATGATGCAAACCCAACCAGGCTAATTAATCATTTTATACTCCATGCAGCAATGAGAATAGAAAGGAGTTGCATTACATATACTTTACCAGATTCTATGTTAGGAAGTCCTCAAGTGTATCACATTAGATAAAACTTTGGCACTACTTATATTTTAATTCTACTTAAGTAGAATTTTAGTGTAAGTTGGAAAGTGAATGAGTAACCTTACCTAAATACATTTGACTGCTACATGTAAACATACACTTCCTGTTATGTGAAGAACAGAAATTCTTCACTCTAAGTTCTGTGGCTCAGAAATGCATTTTGACACTTTTCATCTCTGTAATATTTAGCATTCTTCTTGTACTATTTATTGGTGATAAAAACAGCAAATGTATTTACTTTTTAGCTCATCTTTTTTCACAATACCTATATTTTAGCAGTGATTTGATGAACAAAAGATACTGCTGTTCTTATTAATCCCTGTCTTTCCTTACAAGTAATCTCATTTATATTTCTTTGTAAGATAACACCAGCTGCCCATAGTCACCCTTAACATGAACAGGATTTAGTGTCATACAACACAGAAGAGATTACTTCATACTACTGCACAATTATGTAAAAACATATTTACATGACAGCAAATTTTTTTCCATAAAAAGAGAAAAATTGATTTAATCTCTTAGGAGGACATCCTATGGCTTGTTGGGAACTTTAATATTCTGCATGTTTTACACCTGGTTTTCCTATGTATGGAGAATTTATATTGCTGTATTCTCCCTTCCCCTTGTTTAAATAACTTCATACCTCACTCTTTAAAGAGGTAGGTATTTCTTTCAAAAAGGCTATTGAAACATAATAAAGACATTCATCACCTCCTTCTGTTGAAAAAAAAAATCATGCTAATGCTTGAATGTGCAAGTTTAGTTTTGGAAAGTACTAGAGAATGTACACTTTGATAAATATTTAAAAAAAAAAAAAAAAATTGGGAGAACTATCCACTACTGAAGGATAGGTTTTATCCTGCTCTGCTGGTTTCCAGATCTTAAGATTAGAAACTGCACTTGGAGATGTGCCCTCTGCTCTAGAAGTACCAAACAGCATTGCAGTGTTTTCCCAAATTTGCTTTTTTGTAGCAATATGGAAGGCAAGTTTGTTATTTGATAAGATGTCCATCACTAAATTCACCTAAACACACATACAGGCACCCCTCCCAAACACACACACACACAGAGAGAGACATGGATTTTACAAAAGTCTCATTTTTCTCAAGCAAGTAATCACAACACTGAAAATATTCTCCTATGTGTTCACTGATTTTCTTAAATGATTTGTCACCACTCTGCCACTCAAGGGAGATGGTTATTTCACTCTTCTGAGAAGCTAATTATGTTCAAAAGCAGCTAGATGAGGATGGTGATGTGATATAAATTCCAAAAGAAAAATTCATTGTCTATCCATATTGCCGTCCATCCTGAGAAACTTCCACTGCCAAATTCTTGCTATTTTCCATTGGTCATGGGGTTCCCATCAATAAATAGAAGGTCAGTGCAACAATGAGGAGCAAGCAGAATGGAGAAGAGAAGGTCTGATAGGCAGCTGATGGCATGAAAATATCTTCATACTTGTAAATACTGACAACACGCTCTGACACGGGTGGAGAGTCGATATCATGACGAGTTATAGAACCTTTAGCAGGTAAGGACAGAAAGAAATAACATCAGATGCAATTACTTCTATAACTCTACTGAAGAAACAGGTAGAAAGACAGGTAATTTTCAAACCTATGGAGGCATGCCATGTTACACTGTCAGGGAGCAGGCTCATTTCTTTTGCTTTCTGAAATGAAATTTCTGAATAAAACAAATGAAATTCAAGTAAACAACAAACATCCTTCAAATGAATTAAGAACTTCTAGTTATGAAGTTCTTCTAAATTCAGCTTTAGGAAGTGGGGATAGTAGAGATATAGCCAAGAAAACAAGACATGTTGGATTCCTGTCTTTTTTTTTACCCATCGTTAAGCCTCATGCTGCCAGAATTTTAGTTCATAACAAAAAAAAAAAAAAGGGGGGGGGGGGGGGGAGAGAGGGTGTGTCTAGTAAGAATAATGTAATTGAAAGATATTTATCAATTTTGGCACATCAACTCAGTTGGTGAGATCAACTTACCCTGGATTGCTGGACCCCAAGCAAACAGGTAGTACCAACTCAAGTGCAAATCTACGATGGTTTCTTCTCGGGGAACATAGACTGGACGCTTGAATCGACACGTTACACGGTTGTTTTCAAAAACCCCTTCCTCATCTCTAGCAGGATTTCTCTGGATTTCTTTAGCCCACTGCCCAACATTATAGAAGTGCTGTATTCGAACTCTTCCGTTATCATCATGAACACAAGCCATAACATCATCTCCTCCCTACAAGGTTAAAAAAAATTTGAAGATGGAAAACAAAAGGGTCATAAAACACTTCCTCATTTATGTATACAATTTTAATTATTCAAAGCTGATCAAGACCTGGGATGCTCTTTCCTTCTTTCCAAGTTATATATGCACAAATAACCAGATGTCTTCAGTAAGATTAAAAAGCAGTTTAAGTGGGTAGCAAGTTACATACCCTTCCTGTCTTTGAATTCTCTTTTGGATTTTCCTAAGAGTTATTTTACCTAACATATATTTGTAGGATATGGTATCACTCTGACATCACATAATTGATTGATCTGTGGAAGGCTGTTTTCTTTTGTTATTTGTGAAGTTCTGGCATACTGCTTCATAAAATGGTGCGGTCTTGAGTCCCTGATGTGTACAAAATCCACTGCATCAAATCATGGACAGAAAACCAATTATACTTTAGTGAGACTGAGGAAACAAACCTACTACATATGGGAAAATAATAGCATTGATTACAGTAAGTCTTTTCTAATCTCTCCTCATCATTTCTCAGAGAACATAATTTCTCAAATCTCTTATTTCTTATAAGAAATGTTGTAATAACAGAATACAGTATATCACAAGATACAAAGAAAAAAAGTAATCAATATGTGCTTCTTCAGTTAGCATAAACAGCCACCAAAGAACCAAGAGAAAGAAGGAAGAAGGAGCAACTTATTTGTAAAGGTCATTCATTGAAATACTAAAGCACTCAAGGTGACTGACAGAGTGCTAGAGCACAGGGATGAGCATGAACTTCAGGAGTACTATCTCATAGAAGCCTTAGCACCAAGAGCCATTAGAACACTATCCAAGCTGGAAGAGTACCACAGCTATCAGTGCTACATTAAACATAGGCCCTGCTCCTCCCATATCTTTCTGATATGTCGAACTGATGAAAGACATGATGCTTTCTAGTGTGATCATCCCTCAGTTATTTTATTACAGGGGAAAGAGAGGAAAAGAGCATATTTCAGCACTATGGGAATATTGCAATGTGCATTTGTAAAAGATGTGCCAGAAGTGAGTGGAAAGAGGGGACAACTAGGTAAAACACATGCTTGAACAGTTTTTGTACCTTGGTGCTGCTGCAGACCTTTCCAGCCTCTGTTGTGAGACTATCATTGCTCTCCATAACGTATTTCCCAAGTTTACCTTTTATACATCTAAGCAAAAATCCCTCATTCTTAAGTACAAAGAGGCAAAAATAAAGGTGTTTTTATACCGAAGGGAAAAAAAACTAAAAAGGAAAGAAAAAAGCATTTTGAATCTCATTTAATGGAATGACATCTCAAAATCCTGCCAAGGCACAAAAGCCTGAAAGTGGTAAAACATAATGTTATTTGAGACAAAGAAATAGGTCATAGGACTTTAAAAAAATCTATTGAGGACACAAAGTAGATTTTTTTTCCCTTAATTTCTGAAGCTATCCAGGTCACACCATTTTCATTAGGACCTCTAAAGCACAGCCCGTTTCTCAGAGCTAAGTTGTTTTGACCCAGAGCCATTTTATCATCTAAGCCTGTGCATCCCAGGACACCAAAACATCCTGAAAGTTAACAAAAAGATGAAGTCAGCAGGAAAGCCAGAGAGGAAGAGAGATGCTAGCTGGTTTAGCCCAGGTGACTTATGGGCTTTTACTTTACACTTCCTTGCTACACTTCCTTCCACAGCTGACTTTTCCATTACACTTCCTTTATTCTTTTTACCAGAAGCCAAAACTTAACCTGCTGCTTGCTGTGCCTGCTTTCCAAGTGGCTGATGAGAGGAGGGCAGTGGGATCCTGGGGTCCACTGCAGGTACCTCAGAGGTACAAACTGCTAACACAATCTGATATCTTGGGGACAAATACTTAAAGGTGCTGAGCTGCTTTGAAAACCCTGCCAAGTACCTGCATTGATTGGCAAGCTTCTAAACTCTTCCCAAAATTTGGCTGGAAAGCCAAATTGTTCTTTACATGAAAATCACAAACTATTTCTTGTGGCGTGGACTTTATGACACAAAAATCTTCTAGCATTATTGTGTTTATTTACAGTGTCATATTAAAACATATATAGTAATGACTGAGAAGCACTTGTCCACACATTTTCTTCCTATTTCTCATTTTGGGTCAAATGATGCCTTAAGTTTTAGCTTTCGTATTTTACAGATTCTGTACTGCATTAGAATATAAAACTGAACTTCATATAAAGTGTTAGCAAGTTCTCTTCACTTAGAAAAAACAATCTTTTTCCAGCTGAGAACCAAGGACATCGTTTCAACTTTGGGCCCAAAAGGTGTAAACAACAGCGAATTGAGGAGAGCAATCTGGGAGGATGATATTTCATAAAAATGCTGTTAAGTCAGTGTAAGTCTTCCAATTAATTTTTTGTGGGTCCTATTCCAGGACATCCAATTCCTGTATTTTTTCAGACTGCTACTTTCAACACTACCAAAAACAGTCCTTTCTTTGACTTGTGATTTAGGACATAGGTTCAGTATTGTTCTATATACTCAGGAGAGTTTCTGTGCATGAACACCTACATCACAAATTGCATTTTTATCCTGGAAATTTTACCACAGATAACAGACAAAACATAAGTCATCTATTACCCACGTTTTTTGAAGTCCACACATTATATGTTTTACTTTGCTTGTTGAAAATGAAAAGTGGAGCTTTTGAATTAAAAAGTACAGGAATAAGCACAAAACAGAATGCAATAACAATCCAGAGGAGAAAGAAGAAATTTTAACAAGACTGTCTTCTTGAGTATAAATGTTTTTAGTTAGCAGGAGTCATTTTCTCACACATTTGTGGCTTCCCTGGAACAACACATAGGTATAAGAAAGAAACAAAAAAATTCCCAAGTTAAGCAGTGAAATAAAAAATTATACTCCTGAAAGTCAGCTGATTTTCTCAAGAATAAAATTATTTGCTATTCAGTTTATGATGTGTCTTTTGCCTAAATTACACTGACATAAAGCGCAACAGGGCATTTCCATGTGAATTGGCTTATCCCTGAGGGCTTTTCTAATAAAAAGGCAAAAAGCTAGTGACATTCAAACATTCAGAGCAGACCTGAAATACTGTTGTAGTTCTCAGAGAAGAAGGGAAAGGAGATGCTAGGAAGGATAAAGCAGTTTTCTGTGGGGCAGTGCTCCCAGGGGTGCTACTGAATGGTGCTTTGTTTTCAGCAAGCCAGTTTCACCTTATATGTTCTGTTTCTCACCGATCAAATATATAAATGTACATAAACCATTTATATCCTAGCATGTGGAAGTGTGTGTATTGCCAACATGAAAAACTGTACATATCTTACCATTTTCTTGTCTGAGGAAAATCCCACTGCCACCCAGCCATCTGTGTCGGCACTCAACTCAAATTCAACATCAGCACCTATTCTACGGTAACTTAGAAAGTAGTCACAAGTCTCCGCATTGCATCCAGGTTTACCATACCTAAATGGAATTGGAAATATACATAATTTTTTCCTTGAAATCTCCTGCTATGAAAATTAATTCAGATTTTGCAAGAAAAAAATAAAAGAATGTATTTTGGTATAATGGCAATAAAGCATATATTCTGCTGGACATATAGTACCATAAATTGTTTGCAATTATTACTCTTTTTCTGTATAGTATGCAAACAGTACAGCAAACAATAACACAAAATATTACTCTATTGACCTTCCTTGTGCTGTGTTTTAAGTGCTTCATGAAAATACAAGAAATAACTGTAGGTCTATAACTATGACATGTATTCTTAAATAAACTAGAGTCCTCAAATAATATAGCTGTATATTTTTAAATAACAAAAAATTATTAAAATTACTATGAAATACTAACCAAAGTCTCCAATATCATCAGTCAGCATCTGTAAACATAAAGGTATCTGGACTCTTATCTCAGACTGACCTGAAGCATCCCTTGGTTTTTCCACAGTCATCCACTCTGATTTTTGCAAAGGGATCCACAGGAGGAGCAGTAGGGAAAGGGTAACCTGTATGATCAGAATAAACCATTACCAAATAAAATACAAGGACTAAAATCAATAATACTAAAGAGAAGGTCTTCCAGTAGCATTTACATTGCTGATAACTGAGCTGTTCAGATGAGTGACTACTTTGTTATGTACAAAAACCACTGCTCAGATAGTCCTGGATCCAGGTAACAAAGTAACATGAATAACTGAAAACAAAACTTTCCTAAGGTTTCCTACATTCATCAAGGCGGGAGAAGAATGCTGGAGGGCAAAAAGTTAAATGTAAGGCAGCAGGACCATAGACTATTGCAACTAACAATTAGGGATCTCTGCTCAGCTCTCTCCTTGTGCACTCATAGTCCCCTCAGGAAATCCATAAGGGAACTGAGTCCTTAGCCATAAATGACAGCATTAGGTATAAATGCAGGCAGGGCACCAGATGCAGAGCTATAGGAATTGATACTGAAAAAATCTTATAATACATCCTCCTTTATGAAGTAAAATAAAACACACATTGCAATAAAAGGTAAGAGAGCATCAGGGCAGGGAATTGCCTGCAGTTATGGCCTTCAATCAATTGTGAAGGCAGACCCAGAAGAGCTGGGCAGTGAGAGCTATCATGTCTGCTGGACTATAGCACCAAAGAAAAAGTGAGAAAGTTTACTAGCAGACCTATTCAGTCTTGGCTTGTGGGAGCCGGTGTCTGTTGCATAAGCACAGATATTTTAATAGGATGTTCTTTTACTTAGCCAGATAAAAACCAAAGTGCGACTAGAAACTCTTCTGAACGTGCTTCATTGAGTAGGAAATGAACACTGCAGTTAGTTACAGCACCAGCACACAAACTTTTGACCTACACAGCTTTGGGCGTTTGGGAGCCCTGATTTACTTTCCTAGATCTCAGACAATGATAATGGAGAAAGTATGCTGCAAATCACAGTTACACTAACTGTATCAAGGGCAGGTAAATTACCCTGCATAAATAAATCTGAAGAATTTCACGGCAGCATGTAGTGGTGCATTACTGAAGCACGGGTCACAGGACATGCAATTTTCTCACTCCTTACTTATTTTCAAATCCATTGAACAAATGGTTTTCCATGCAGCTTAGCCGCAAAAGTGGTGTTTTAACATTCCTCCATTTGTAAATTTAAAAAAAAAAAACCCACCCCAAAACCCACGACCACGCTGCTTCTTGACACTTTAGGGCATCACACGTCCTTTCGAAGCCCACACACCCCAGGACTCCTTTTTACGGTACCAGCCCGGAAAGCTTTGCAAGAGGGGAAGGTGCGGGGCTGCCGGCTGGCCCCGCTCTGCGGGAAGGTGACGGCCCCCGACCCGAGCTCCCGCCCGGGGGCTGCCCGTGTCCGGGGCTGCCCGTGTCCGGAGCTGCCCGTGTCAGGAGCTGCCCGTGTCAGGAGCTGCCCGTGTCCGGAGCTGCCCGTGTCCGGGGCTGCCCGTGTCCGGGGCTGCCCGTGTCCGGGGCTGCCCGTGTCCGGGCCTGCCCTTGGAGCGCGGCTCTGCGGAGAGCGGGCAGGACACCCGGGCCCCCGGCGGCCCCGGCCCCGAGCGGCAGCGCCGGCTGAGGCGGCCGGGCCGGCGAAGATGGCGGCGGGCGCTGGCCTTCGTGCTGAACCGCGCTGCCACAGCCTCCCGCCCGCCGCCCCGCGCCCGCCCGGCCCGGCCCGCCCTGCCGCTCCCTCCCGGCCCCGGCCGCGCCGGGCCCCTCGCCCGCCGCCCCCCAGCCCCGGCCGCCGCCGCACCCTCCTCGGAGAGGTAGCGCAGGTCGTAGAACTCGCTGGCGAAGGTGCCGTACGAGGAGTCGTGGTGCCGCGCCGCCTCCTCGCCGTGATCCCCGCCGCCCGCCTCCCGCCGCCCGCCGCCCTCCTCCGCCGGGCTGGCGGCGGAGCCGGCCAGGAGCAGCAGCAGCAGCAGCGGCAGCCGCCGCCGAGCGCCGCGGCTCCGCTCCGCCATGGCGGCGGCGGCGGGGCGGGGAGGCGGCGGCGCCCGAGCGCGGCTCCGCGGGGGAGCGGGGGCGGCGGCCGGGGGGATCCAGCCCCGGGAACGGGCGGTTCTCCGGAGGGCCAAGAGACGGCGTGGGAGGGTGTTGTAGGGGAAATGGGTCGGGGCGGTGTATGCGCGGGAGCGGGATGCCTTGGGAACGGGATGCGCCGGGAGCGGGACGCGCCCGGAGAGGGATGCGCGGGTGGTCACAGGCACAGCACCGAGCCCTCCCCGCAGACACCGCTGCCGACGGGTTGCGCGCTGGCCTTCCCTGGATCACTGATTTCCCGCATCCCACAGCGCGCCCCACCCAGCAGAAGCCCCGCCGCGGACACGTCTCCCACAGCCCGGGCACAGCCGTCGAGAGGCTGTACCGAGCCGTCCCTGGCTGCACCCGTGGCCTCGATTCACTAAAGCCTCCTGGCATGTGCTTCAAGAGGACGTGATAAATCTTGCTCAGTAATTGCCGGGCAAACTTAGCTGTTTTAATATATTTTAAAATTTATTTTATTATTACTATTCTTTTTAATGACTTCTGGGATGGGACTGGAGACACAGCGCGACTTAACATTGTTTTCAGGTAAAACCCCATGGTAGTGAGCGTTTGCTATCTGATTGCATGTTCTTGCTTTGTATTTTATACAATGTAAGTGCAGAAATACCAATATACTCCAAATCTGGCAGGACTGAAGAAAATCCCGGGTTGCCTCCAAAGTTGTCTTGGGCTCTGGTATCTGATGCTGGACTTACAACTAGGAATTAAGCATACAACTGCATTCTTGCTGTGCTTTGGGATCCATGAGTTGATGGAGGAACCATGGCCTTTCATGCCTTGCATTACTTGGGTTTGGATTGCTGTCTTTTGGTTATAACTATAGTTTCATTTTTATATTATTATGCATAGTCACACTTCCTCCTCTGAGAGTTTGGAATAAAATTCGGGAAAACATCATGGGGGAGGGAGGGAGAAAGAAGAACACACAGCAGTCAGTAATATTCTGGAAATTAAAATAACCCTCCATTTAAATATTTTCTTTTTTTAGTATCAGTGACTGTACTGAGTTACTTTTTGGTGGGGCACTGAGACTGCCCAAGACCAAGGCTGCATTAGGGATAAGTTCATTCCCGTGGGCTGAGCGGTGGCTTGTCATACCAGAGTGTGTTCATCTGCATCAAGTGGAGGATGTTAATTCACATCTCCATGGTTTAGTCTGGTGGAGTAGCATGCTATTTCTCACTGCAAATAGAGGAATAGCCATACAGAAGAAAAAAATAAGTCGCAAAAATAATACCAGTTGCATGCAAATTCAACATGTTCCACATTTTCCATAGCATATGGAAAAAGCTATAGGAAAGCAACAGCAAGCTCCACTGCAAAATATTGAGTCCCTTCTTTCTGCCATACTGAGCTGGGCAAAATTTAGCAGGCTAGTGGAAAACAAGCAAACAAATGACAACAGAAAAGCCCTTATAAATCAGGCTAACAGGAAAGTAAGGCAGCAACTTATTCTTTCTGGCAATAATTAACTCTGATGACGGCCCCCCATCTCCCTTTTTGAAATATGTAGCCGAGGGTTCTGGTGCCTGTGAAGAAGCATTTGCTCAGCAAGGGAGCAGCTGTCAGCTGCATGCTGATTTCTCCTCCCTAGGAACAGGCTTTAGCACACTGTGATATGGGCAATGCTTCACAGTTATGGTAAACACTTAGGATATTTGTCATGTATTGTTTGTGCCTACATGACACCTATCATTTTAAATCTGGCAGCTGAGATATCTGTCTGTGATTACAGTGGAGCTGCACTGGTTGTCTAAAGTGAAGATATGGCTAAGAGAATGACCTTCCTCCTAGTAAATCCTTAAAAATTAAAAGTAGAATACCGCTGAATTTTTTGTTGCTTAGTAGAACCTTACGTGGTTGTCTGAAGGTTGTCCCTATCTCAAAAATGGGTTACTCATGGGAAGCAACATCACATGGAGATAGGTGGAGCTCTAATGACTACCTTCAGTTTTCCCCAGACAGAAAGGTCTACACTGTAACTAACAGCACTGCCAGCAGTACTGCAGGAAAGTTCCTTATCTGATTAAGTAATTGAAGTTGTCATCAAAAAAAAGCATTAGCAGAAAGAGCCCAAACTGCAATTGTATGAGCAGCCTTAACCCTCAAATGCCTGAACTCTCTGAATGCCATATTTCTCATCTTGCACTTGCTTGTAATGCCTTTCTCAGAAGAGACACAAACCAGCAGTGTGAGAACCACAGGTTTGAAGTCCTCTGGCAACAGGAGTCTTCTTGCTTGTGCTCAATTAGAGATGTGAGCATTTCCACTACTTCTTGCACCCTCGCCTCCTGCCTCAGCAGTCAAATTCTTTGGATGGTTAATTACTGTAGCTTGGGCAATTCTGTGGTGCTAGCACTCAGCCTGTGGGTGTCTTCCCAGGACTGGAGACCAGATTTATCCCCAGCCTATCCTTGAGGCCCACTGTGCCTTCTTTCTTGGCTGTTTTTGTCATTCACAGTACACCTTTCCCCTGGAGGCTCATGCTTTTTGGGGCCTTTGGACTAGAAATTAAAGTTTCAGGTATAAGTCATGGTTTATATAACAGACATTCAGAAAAAAAATCCTAGTTCTTCTGGTCATTTCCATCCAATCAACATGTACTGAAAAATTATTATGTATCCATCAGTGCTGACTGAGAAAATTACTCTTGAGACAGCAGTTTTCTTACAGTAAATCTGTAATAACCTGAACCAGAGTTTGTAATTTATATGCAGTTTATTCAAACTCTTACAACACTCGTGTTCAATGTGGGGAATGTATCTACTCTACAAGTCATTTATCTTGGGCTTTTCTTTATTAAACAACAATAAAGTGAGAAATTGTTGAATCATAAATTTTCATTAGCAGCCATTTATCCCATGCTATAGTTAACCACCTGGGACTCTACAGAGGCTTGCTTGTGGTGTTAGTTACTCAGACTAAGACATGGGAGAAAAAGTAGTAGGAATTTCTTGCAAGCAGAGCTTTTTCACAGTGTACAAAATAGAATGATGATGGGAAACATGTCAAATGCCAATAGACGAAGCACATCTATGAAAAAAGTGAAAACTAAGTGACTGCCTTTGAAAAACCAAAGCAGTACAAAGAAAACAGATGTGTGCTATTTCTGAAAGCAGCTCACGAAAGGGATGAGTGAGCTTTTTGGAGGCATGGTATTGCTTCATATCTTCTGAAGAAAGGCAAGAAAATATAAACTCTAAATATGCTATCATCCAAATAAAACCTGTATTAGATCCTTTGATCATCTTTTGCTCAGCACTGGTGAATTTTTCATTTTCTTCTGTCACTGAGTTATGTATGTAGTCTTGCTTCAAGAATGATTGTGCCGTCACTGCCCACAACAGTACTCTTTCTGTAAAATTAATCTAATGTAGGAAAAAACAATGTCTCCAAGCTCTTTTCCACAAGCATAATATACACCAATCTAAAGACTAAGTCCAGAACTAAATCAGCACGAGTTTTGCTTCAGTAAGCACTATGGACCCTTCCCAAGGTATATGAAAACTGCAGCTCTATTTGTTTGGGTGCTTATGTGTGTGCATGTTGGTTTACATCAGGTAGTTTATAACTTTTCTCCCAAGACTGCGATTTTTTACCTTCTGGCACTCTTTGCTACCCCAGCTGGAATGCAGTTCTGGGAGGTATACATACTCTGAAAGCCAGAGCTACCAGATGGTGGCACAATCTCCACCAGGAGGTTCTAGAGCAAAATGTTTCACTTTTTTTTTTTTTTTTTTTTTTTTTTAACAAGCCCTCATTACAAAGAGGTTATTTATAGTGTTATTCTAATAAGAAGCTAAAACAGAGCAGCCTTTTATTAGAACTCGCAATAAAGGGCATTACACTGAGGCCTCCCTGTAAATACCACTTACTGTGCAAAAGTTGGCCTGGGTATTAGCAGAGAGTTCATTTAGCTAGGAAGGTTTTAAAGAGTTTAAGCAGCATTCATTCAATTAATTCCACATGTGACAATGGCATTTTATCCTAACTATTTAAGAACTCAGAAATTAGGAAAAAAAAAAACCAAAAAGAGAAACTGTTCCCTTACGAGCTTCATCTGAAGAGTTTTATTAAAAGTCCTGTAAGTTTGCCTGTTTGAAAATATCCATCTAAAACAGCCTTTCTGCAGTTCAAATACAGAAAATTCTGAGATAATAATAATAATAATAATACCCTTGTCTTCTAGGTGAATATAAGTGGGTGAGAGAAAGCAGCAGAGGAGCTCCTTTTGGCTCACTCCTCTGCAGTGAAGGTGTTTTCTGTAAGTCCTGACCGAGGCATCTTCAGCCAGGGAATCTGAGGGACAGGGCCTTGGCCCCTCCTGAGCACAGGCTCCTGGAGGGTATGCTTTGTTTCAAATAACCCATGAATAAATTACGGGATTAAGGCAGTTTTCTCTGTCTCTTGAAGTCGTTGGAGTGCAGGTGAAGAGCAGCCCCCAGGCTCCAGAAACATGCTCAAAATCTGGCTTAGGGATGGAGCATCCCGCTCACCCCTGCTGCTCCTGGTGCTGCTGGCCCCGTGCCCAAATACATCCATGCTCTCTACACTAATTTTTGGGCTTGGGCTGCAGAACAGGTGCTTTCTCTCTCCCCCCCGCAAGTGCAATAACGTGTTGCGTTAACAGCCGCAAGTGCAGCTTCGGGGAGTTTTTGAGGAAAGGGGGAAGGAGGGGCAGACGAGAGAGAAGAAATCGAGGAGACAGATGTGCGTGTCCGAAGGAGACAGGCGGATTTCGCTGGTGCGGCGGGCAGGGACGGTGCCAGCTGCCCGCTGTGCCGGAGCATCTCCCCGGAGCCGCGCTCCCCGAGCTCCGCCGCCGCCGGCTCCCGGGGAGAACCGGGGCTGGAAATGCACCCGCCCGCCGCCGAGCGGCACCAAGGCACCGAGGCACGGCGAGGTCCTCAAAAACATACCCCATCAAGGCGGCAAGACGGGAA